ACAGTCACTTCGAGATCAACGGATACTTGTTCCGCCAAGAACGAGGAGTCGCTATGGGATCACCAGCCGCCCCACCGTTGTGCAATTTGGTTGCTACGGTTGAGGATTTCTTCTGGCACCAAACAATGAGTTCTCTGCGGTTTTGCATGCCCGACATTGGTGTGATCTGGCATGAGCGCTACGTCGACAATCGTTTCATTCTCCTTCGAGATTCAGCCCCACACTCGCCCGTGCTCATGAATTTTCTTTCCCTGGAATTTTATCGCCCACCAGTGATGCTCGAGGTTCAACATGATGACAAAGTGCTGGGTTATCGATGTGACTCTTCCTCCCGGACTATTACACCACAGCTACCTGATCATCCCTCCCAATCAAAGGAATTCGGAGTGCCAATGATCAGATGTTTACTTATTCTTCTTGGTCTTCTCGCTCGTGGCTCATCATACGCGGTGCACAACCGGCGGTTCAGCAGCAGCACGGGCTCGACGCTCTCAAACGCCTTTATGAGGCCAAAGGTTTTGAACCTCACCTTCTGCGTGACGTTCGGCGTCGACTCGGGACAAAATCTGCATGTGAGCTTGTCATGCTGTCTCTTCTTGTGCATGCTTGGGACAGTTGTTGATGCATTGTGCTTTGTTTGCATGTAGCTGGCTCAGTGGTGGATATTTTGGTCAACGGCGCTGCAAGTGCTTCTTCATCGATACGATCAAGTTGTTGGCCTTCGCAGTTCCTCTCAATGGTCAGTGTACGAAGTAAAGTCAGATCATCGACGCCGTATGTTCGTGGCGCCGTCAAACCAAGATTCCTAGGATTTTTCGTGAACAAGATCTCCGGCACCTTCTGGACTTTGTCATTGACAACAGTCACTTCGAGATCAACGGATACTTGTTCCGCCAAGAACGAGGAGTCGCTATGGGATCACCAGCCGCCCCACCGTTGTGCAATTTGGTTGCTACGGTTGAGGATTTCTTCTGGCACCAAACAATGAGTTCTCTGCGGTTTTGCATGCCCGACATTGGTGTGATCTGGCATGAGCGCTACGTCGACAATCGTTTCATTCTCCTTCGAGATTCAGCCCCACACTCGCCCGTGCTCATGAATTTTCTTTCCCTGGAATTTTATTGCCCACCAGTGATGCTCGAGGTTCAACATGATGACAAAGTGCTGGGTTATCGATGTGACTCTTCCTCCCGGACTATTACACCACAGCTACCTGATCATCCCTCCCAAGTCAAAGGAATTCGGAGTGCCAATGATCAGATGTTTACTTATTCTTCTTGGTCTTCTCGCTCGTGGCTCATCATACGCGGTGCACAACCGGCGGTTCAGCAGCAGCATGGGCTCGACGCTCTCAAACGCCTTTATGAGGCCAAAGGTTTTGAACCTCACCTTCTGCGTGACGTTCGGCGTCGACTCGGGACAAAATCTGCATGTGAGCTTGTCATGCTGTCTCTTCTTGTGCATGCTTGGGACAGTTGTTGATGCATTGTGCTTTGTTTGCATGTAGCTGGCTCAGTGGTGGATATTTTGGTCAACGGCGCTGCAAGTGCTTCTTCATCGATACGATCAAGTTGTTGGCCTTCGCGGTTCCTCTCAATGGTCAGTGTACGAAGTAAAGTCAGATCATCGACGCCGTATGTTCAAAGGAAAGTGGCGCCGCAAACCAGATTCCAAGGATTTTTCGTGAACAAGATCTCCGGCACCTTCTGGACTTTGTCATTGACAACAGTCACTTCGAGATCAACGGATACTTGTTCCGCCAAGAAACGAGGAGTCGCTATGGGATCACCAGCCGCCCCACCGTTGTGCAATTTGGTTGCTACGGTTGAGGATTTCTTCTGGCGCCAAACAATGAGTTCTCTGCGGTTTTGCATGCCCGACATTGGTGTGATCTGGCATGAGCGCTACGTCGACAATCGTTTCATTCTCCTTCGAGATTCAGCCCCACACTCGCCCGTGCTCATGAATTTTCTTTCCCTGGAATTTTATTGCCCACCAGTGATGCTCGAGGTTCAACATGATGACAAAGTGCTGGGTTATCGATGTGACTCTTCCTCCCGGACTATTACACCACAGCTACCTGATCATCCCTCCCAAATCAAAGGAATTCGGAGTGCCAATGATCAGATGTTTACTTATTCTTCTTGGTCTTCTCGCTCGTGGCTCATCATACGCGGTGCACAACCGGCGGTTCAGCAGCAGCATGGGCTCGACGCTCTCAAACGCCTTTATGAGGCCAAAGGTTTTGAACCTCACCTTCTGCGTGACGTTCGGCGTCGACTCGGGACAAAATCTGCATGTGAGCTTGTCATGCTGTCTCTTCTTGTGCATGCTTGGGACAGTTGTTGATGCATTGTGCTTTGTTTGCATGTAGCTGGCTCAGTGGTGGATATTTTGGTCAACGGCGCTGCAAGTGCTTCTTCATCGATACGATCAAGTTGTTGGCCTTCGCAGTTCCTCTCAATGGTCAGTGTACGAAGTAAAGTCAGATCATCGACGCCGTATGTTCAAAGGAAAGTGGCGCCGTCAAACCAAGATCCCTCGAATTTTTCGTGAACAAGATCTCCGGCACCTTCTGGACTTTGTCATTGACAACAGTCACTTCGAGATCAACGGATACTTGTTCCGCCAAGAACGAGGAGTCGCTATGGGATCACCAGCCGCCCCACCGTTGTGCAATTTGGTTGCTACGGTTGAGGATTTCTTCTGGCACCAAACAATGAGTTCTCTGCGGTTTTGCATGCCCGACATTGGTGTGATCTGGCATGAGCGCTACGTCGACAATCGTTTCATTCTCCTTCGAGATTCAGCCCCACACTCGCCCGTGCTCATGAATTTTCTTTCCCTGGAATTTTATCGCCCACCAGTGATGCTCGAGGTTCAACATGATGACAAAGTGCTGGGTTATCGATGTGACTCTTCCTCCCGGACTATTACACCACAGCTACCTGATCATCCCTCCCAAATCAAAGGAATTCGGAGTGCCAATGATCAGATGTTTACTTATTCTTCTTGGTCTTCTCGCTCGTGGCTCATCATACGCGGTGCACAACCGGCGGTTCAGCAGCAGCATGGGCTCGACGCTCTCAAACGCCTTTATGAGGCCAAAGGTTTTGAACCTCACCTTCTGCGTGACGTTCGGCGTCGACTCGGGACAAAATCTGCATGTGAGCTTGTCATGCTGTCTCTTCTTGTGCATGCTTGGGACAGTTGTTGATGCATTGTGCTTTGTTTGCATGTAGCTGGCTCAGTGGTGGATATTTTGGTCAACGGCGCTGCAAGTGCTTCTTCATCGATACGATCAAGTTGTTGGCCTTCGCAGTTCCTCTCAATGGTCAGTGTACGAAGTAAAGTCAGATCATCGACGCCGTATGTTCAAGGGAAAGTGGCGCCGTCAAACCAAGATCCTAGGATTTTTCGTGAACAAGATCTCCGGCACCTTCTGGACTTTGTCATTGACAACAGTCACTTCGAGATCAACGGATACTTGTTCCGCCAAGAACGAGGAGTCGCTATGGGATCACCAGCCGCCCCACCGTTGTGCAATTTGGTTGCTACGGTTGAGGATTTCTTCTGGCACCAAACAATGAGTTCTCTGCGGTTTTGCATGCCCGACATTGGTGTGATCTGGCATGAGCGCTACGTCGACAATCGTTTCATTCTCCTTCGAGATTCAGCCCCACACTCACCCGTGCTCATGAATTTTCTTTCCCTGGAATTTTATCGCCCACCAGTGATGCTTGAGGTTCAACATGATGACAAAGTGCTGGGTTATCGATGTGATTCTTCCTCCAGAACTATTACACCACAGCTACCTGATCATCCCTCCCAAATCAAAGGAATTCGGAGTGCCAATGATCAGATGTTTACTTATTCTTCTTGGTCTTCTCGCTCGTGGCTCATCATACGCGGTGCACAACCGGCGGTTCAGCAGCAGCATGGGCTCGACGCTCTCAAACGCCTTTATGAGGCCAAAGGTTTTGAACCCACCTTCTGCGTGACGTTCGGCGTCGACTCGGGACAAAATCTGCATGTGAGCTTGTCATGCTGTCTCTTCTTGTGCATGCTTGGGACAGTTGTTGATGCATTGTGCTTTGTTTGCATGTAGCTGGCTCAGTGGTGGATATTTTGGTCAACGATAGAGATTTGAGTCTGAGCATGTGATCTTCCTGCAGGAGAAAAGAGAAACCTCGCCCCTCGTAGAGGGGCGTGTGTGTGCGGAGTGGCAGAAAACCCTGCCACCAAAACCGTCTTCTGTTGCAGCAGGGGGCCAGCGGCCATCAAGCAAACGCTGGCCAACGAAGCTATGCTTGATGGTGGATGCACGGATTGATCACCCGTGTGTACCTGCAACATTTGCGTGATTCTGAAAGTCTATTTGGCCCCTTGGTTGCGGCGCTGTGTGTGCTTCATGTTGGAAATGGTAACGTTTTCGCCTCTAGAGGGAAACCGAGTGCCTTGCGAGCCGAAACTCATCCTACTCGAGACTTGTCGGTTGTACTCGAGACTCATCAGTTGTACTCGAATGATTAGCATTCTCCATCTGGAGGTCAAGTGTGTCTCTTTTGCGTAGCTGGCAGGCATTGGGCTGTGAAGGCATCGCCAGCGCGGGCAAAGGGCAACATAATTATCAAATATTTGTTTAGTATTTAGCATTTGCAAGTCTCCACCCTTTCTTTAGGGCATCTGTGCATTACACTCGTTTCCTTGGCCCAACATGTTCACATGGGCCAGTTTGGGCTCTTGGCGCGCAGAGGAAGGCCTTTATTAGTAGGAATTTTTGGCAGGGCAGTGGCTCTTCAAGCAAAGCCTGGCTCTGCCGGGGGTAGTTTGCCAGCTCGTACATCTTGTCAAAATCGCTTCAGATGCTAAACTGCTAACATGACCATCATGACGCACACAGCCACGCATGCACCCAAGCAGTAGAAGCAGGACATTGACCATACCCACTGGACGATGGCTCCCAGCACAGTTTTGTCACTTGGCATGGACAATGTGAGCTACACTTCTCAGCTTGAGGTTTTTTGACAGGCCAGCCATGAACGTGCGAGAGGCACGAATCCAACCTCGAGGAAGCAATTTGTTTCTTGCAAATCCTCAGATGTGCGAGCTTCTTGAGAGGTGACTATCACCCGACGACTTTTCCACCTTGGTTTGCGCCTCGAAGTTTCCTTAAAAATTAGCTTGAGTGGTATACCTTCATGCATGATCAGCCAAGGCCTCCGAGGTGCTTGGGAAGAGGTGCTGTCCTCCATGTTGCTTTGGGTCGCTGCAATCTTTGTGGACTCTGAATATGGGTTTTGTTGGTGCTTGGCTCTTTCAATTGTTGATTTCAAGGCTCCCCAAATTGAAATATGATCGGCATCGCGATATTGACATTTTGCCGTTCAGCATAAGTTAGCACGCGCAACTGGCCTGACTGAAGCATCCGTCGGGCTCTCGGAATGTTGCCGCTTTCAGATCTTGGTTGCGTGTCGTCTAGGCTATGGCCGCTGAGAACGCAGCGCCACAGCCCGCCTTGGATGCAGCTTGCTCATTGTTCACAATGAACGCAATTCCTTGCTTTACTTTGGTTCCATTTCGTTCCTCAGCGCTCAGGCTAAGCTTGACGCCAAGGGAAAGAAGAAGGCCAGTGCAGCGTGCAGCAGTTGTCGCAGAACTTTACTCGGCAAGGCTGGGAAGAGCACAATTGCGAAGGCGGCAGGACAGACACGTTTCCTGCAAGCGCTGCATTTTGTAAACCATTGCATACTGTCAGGTTTTGGCCATTTGACACGCAATCCGAATGCAGGAGCTGGAGGATACTTCCTGCCCCCGCAGGCAGAGCATTCCGATTGTCAAAAGATCATCTGCCCAAAGTGTGAGGCACAAGTGTTACAGAACACTGTCCAGGCTGGCGGAAGTAACAAGCCATTAGGTTCTCATGTCAAGTGCAGGTGCCACGCCGCTTTCCTGGCCACTTCATGCCTCACAGGACCTGTCTGCCTGTTGTATTTCTTTGAACACCCGACGGCAAGGCTCTGCAACCACTGGAACCTGCAGGGGTGGTGCAAGAAAGCGGAGGTGGGAACAGAGAGAAGCGGAAGCGGAAGCGGCGCGGATGGGAAGCTCGTGAGACCTGCACTTTCGCGCACGGCATCGAAGAGCTGCACCCAGATGTCCAGGGCTCGGCTACGACATTTCTCAAAGCCGAACCGAATATCACAGGATGCATAGACGCTGGCATGCCGACAGGTCCAGGCGCAGTTGCTGCAGCAAAAGCTCGGGGAACCCAGTGCTCGAATTGTAACATTTGCAACATGCGTCCGATGCCCAGGCCATGCGTGAGCCGATTCAAGTCAGAGCCCAGGCCAGGCATGCCCCCGCCAACCGTCACGAAAGATGGCCGATTAGTGGCTGGGCGCTGAGACTCTGAGAAGCTCAGATGGCGATCTCGACGGGTGCAAGGTGCAAGTGGTGCATCTCTGATTTTGTGCGGACATCTCGGGGAGTGACCATCCCAGGTGCATGGCGTGACAAAGCCTGCAGGAAAGGCGAGGATTTCTGAGTCAATTGCAAGTTTGGTCATGTGGAGCTGAGAGGTCACTCCAGAGCCACCAAGCCAGGTGCTCAGCATTCACTCACCTTTGGCCTCGCATTGCCTGCAAACGACATGCTGAGGCTATCCAGTGCAGACGCTTTCCAACGTATATGGAACGCAGACGTCGATTTTGACCGCAGGCATGCCGACTGCAGGCACGCGCCATGCAGTCATGTCTGCCAGTGTAGCACGGTGCGGCAGGCGGCATTCCATTTAGCAGCACAAGCTTCCCCTTCAGTGTCCCACCAGGCAAGAGCTCAACAGCTGTCAAGGCTAGGGCGTGACCTCTCAGGTGCGAACATTGCTCCTGCGCAATCAATCGGCTTGAAGGTGCCGGAGGAGGATGAGGACACCCACACCCTTTGGAGCGAGAGAGCCGTGAGCGATTTGCCCATGCAGGATGGGGACAGCTCACCAGGACCGGAAACAGAGAGAGCTGATAGAGAGGCGACATGAGGCGACACAAATCCAAATGGAGAGCCCAAGAGAGCCCACCGAAAGTGGGAATCGGGGTTGGACTTGGCGTAGGCACGCCCAGCATGCGTCGCCCTGCGCCGGCACCTCTTTCGCCGGGTCCTAAGCTGGTTCTTTCGCAATGTTGGGAGGCGAACTAGGCAAACTGAAACGGATTCGCATAGGCTGGATGACATCTCCCCAGATGGTGGTCAAGCCATGATGGTGCGACCATCAGTGCTTTCTCCAACAAGTGCCCGGTGCTCACTGCCGCAAACGTGCTGGCTTGGCTTGCCGCGAATCACCGCGATTTGCCGTTCTTGGTGCTCTTGATCCTTCTAATGCTTCAGGTGGGTGCACGCTACACCGTCAGGACACAGCCCATGCCAATGGCTTCGTACGCCCGCAAGAGCCGAGTCGCACCTCCCTTCCTTTTTCTCCTTTTATTCGTGGTATGCGCCTCAGGCCAATGCGAGTGCAGGTGGTTTCGAGGCAGGCAGCGTCGGCTTTATTTTGACACGTGTCTGACCGGGTGTTCCAGGTGAGAATCGAGCCATCCTACACGTAGCTTGCTTTGGTGCAATGCCCTGTCAAGTTCATTCAGTGTTGCAGCTTCCTGGGTGATAGTGTTTCATGTCTTGAAGGCATGCAACCAAATTGACTCTTTCAGGCAGTTGTGGGTTCTTTTGCCTTTCAGGCAGTTGGAAAACGTTCTGGAAAATAGCAATCAAAGCCTGCAGCAGTTGTTTAAGCTGGAGTGTCTTTGCTAAGACATTGCTGGTGCAATTCTCGGATCTTTGTGTTGGAGAGACTTCTTGAACATAGATAACTTCAGCAGCATAATTTTAGTGAAAGTGATAGCAGTCTGGGTTGTTGTTCTGTTCTTTGAGGTCAGCAGGGAATCAGTTGCCAATTGTGGTAAACATGCTCATCACACGTAAACATGTTGGAAGGTGGGTGTTCCCTTGAGATTGTGCTTATCTGACAGGTGTATCAAGCTTTGCATCAACAAGTTCGGCAGGAAACAACCCCGAGCCCCTGCGACCAAACCGACATGGAAGCAACGAGAAAGGCAACGCCGTGATTGTTGCTCCCAAGGAATTGGGGATTGTGACTCTTCAACTTGGCTGCAAATTCTCTGCTCATGTTTCGCCGCTCCTTGAATTTTTCGTCTGACCGGCACGGCAGTTCCGACACCCATTTCGAGCTGTTCATAGCAATGGCTGTTTCAAGACTCCTGTATTCGAAACTGTATGGGTCCACATACAGTCAGTGTTTGCGTGTTGGATGCCAACACAGTGGGAATGGAGGGTTCCTTGCTGCGGCTGTGCTCAGCGATTCGGAAACTGCAAGGCTACGGGTTGAGCGTCGTTCTTGTAAGTCGGGAGGACATCTCAGATGCAGTCGAGGCTGAAGTTCTGACCTTGGACATGGATCGTTTGCTTTATTTCAAGGCGTTCAACCCTGGGAATGTGGACGCAATTCAAGCCGCAGTATCTTATGAGGCCTTTTTTGTGCAGAATTGCGATTTGGTGGAGGACTGGCGATTGTCTAAACACGCCCAGGAATGGCTGCTCCGCCATGCAATGTTGCAGGTGCAATTCAGCTTTGATGCCACTCTGGCGGTTTTCATCCACAGTTTGCTACTGGAGTTGAGCCTGGCGTATTTGCCATAGAGGAGGCAACAGCGAGGCTCTTGAGTGATGTTTGTGCCATGGCAAGCAATGATTCCGAAGAGGACGTTGGCCTCGAAGTCACAGAGTTGCCAGGTGGCTGGATCAGAGATTCCGGGTCACCCGAGATGGCAGTGAGGGGCGAGGTTGCAATCGGAGTGGAAAAGGAATCCATGTCTGCGAAGCTCGGCCAGCTCGAGCTTGAGATTGAGATGGCCAGGAGCTTCAGGAGCTTCAGGAGCTTCGGCTTGAGACACCGCCCGTGCTCCGGCACCGAGCTCCGGCTCCGAGTCCGAGTCCGACTCCGAGTCCTCTTGGCCTTTTCGCGGGCGTGGGCAGCCGCAAGGAGTGCCGCCGAGCTGCGCGGCTGGCCCTGGCCGTGGCGCACAAACTCCGCCAGGCCAAGCCGCCGCAGAACCCCTACCTGCAGCAGCTGACTCGCCGTGCCAAGCGCCTCATGGCGGAAGCAAGAACCCGAAAAATCCCTGAATAGCAACTCGTGCTACTTACCGTTGCCTCGTAAAAAGGGCCGTTGCCTCGTAAAAAGGGCCGATGCCATCCATGCACATTTCTTGTGAACTCGAGCAGTGTGCAGCTTGCATTCGAGGCCGCTGCCTTCCCCAATTTCAACTGGGCTGACGCCCACGGGAGTGCCAGCTGCCAAAGTGCCAAAGTGCCAAAGGCGTGTGAAGCTGTGAGCCACTGTGAGCCAAGTTGGCGAGCCAAGTTGGGCCAAGTTGGTTTAAGGTCCAACATGGCGACCTCCGTGGCCATGGCCGCGCTTGCCACCCCCAAGACGGCCGCAGCCGGGGTCACAGGGGTCACAGGGGTCACAGGGGTCACAGGGGTCACAGGGGTCACAGGGGTCACAGGGGTCACAGGGGTCACAGGGGTCACAGGGGTCACAGGGGTCACAGGGGTCAGACGGCATCGACGCGACCTAGGTCCAGTCGTTGGCAAGCCCTGCAAGGGTAGGGGTCTCAAATATGAATGCGCGCCGCCTTTCCGGGCAACCGGTTCTGTGCAGCTGTTGTCCGCGCGGCAGGTGACCACGCATTTCACACGCACGCCACAAGGCAACCTGATTTGGCCCGATCCGCAGTTTCCAAGCTCAGCATAAGGCTCAAGGAACATTCGTTTCAATTGCGCAAGGCCTGGGTCTCCTACACTGCCGGGGCCTCAACTGCCTAGTGCTTTGGAGCGCCGTGGGTCGAGGCTCTCGCCACAGACGCATCCGGGGACCCCGGCAGCGGCCTGTCTTGTCACCGATCGGCGATGGCGATATCCTGAATGCCCTAAGGTGCCGATCGACCGCTCGACCTTCCTGCAGGCACCAAATATGCGCAGCTTTTGGATATTTTTTATATTTTTGGTGTGTTGTGATGTTTGCCACTGTTTGCCAGGCGAGACAAGTCGCCGTGCGCATGGAGCAAGGCCCTCCAGGACTAGCGATGACAGGACCTTAGAGCCTAACAGTTTGGTCTACACTTAGCTTGCCTCGTCATCATTGAAGGTGGGCACCTACGCCAACCACCAAGGCGAGCACACGAATTCCCGCCATGTTCGAAAAAGCAGGCCGTCAAGTCGCCAGGCCGGCCTCCTTGGTTTCCGCCATCCTGAACCAGGCTGTGCATTGCTGGAAATTCAACATTTTGCTGCGCCCCAAGTCCTTCAGCGATTCCCTGCCCCAGGATATATGTCAGTGCAGCCACGAAGTTGATGGATACTCCAATGTACAGTTGGAATCTGCTAGGCAGCTATGCATGAACAAGCCGTGCGCAAGCACGGCTGTTTCAAAATGCCTGTGTTGAAATCCAGCACGCTGTACTTGTGCCGTGTTGCGGCACATACTTTTGCTTAATCCTTGCAGCCACATGCTTGAAAGGTGTACCTCTCCACAAGAAAGGAAATCTAGACAATCACCTTGCGAGTATTGCATGGAAGGGGTGTAAATTGCACCCTTGCTGACACTTGTAAATTTAGCTACCAAGCCTCATGATGGGCAATCTGCATCTAGCCCCATTAGGCCCTATTGCGGAGCTTGCTTATTCATTGAGCCCAGAGGTAAGGCAGCTGGGTTGGCTAAGAACTGCAAACCTGTGAAGCTAGGTTTGCTCTGGCAAAGTTAATGCAAGGAGATAAATCCTTGCGGTTGGCCCAATTTTGGAACAAGACAAGCCCATGGCGTTGTATTTCTGTTTGGGCCTGGACCTTTTGCCAGCTGCATGTCTTATGCATGTTAGTTATACATGGGATGGCTCGCCCGCGAAGTTTTCTCCCCTCCGCTTATGAGCGGGCTATCAAGGGATAAGCGAGACTGACCTGCATCGGGAAAGGAGCACCGTGGACATGGGGCATTTGGAATCCCAAGACTTGATGACTTGATGCTAGCGAATTGAAGCGCTCAATGCTAGGCTTTGGACCTCTGGGACAAATGTGGTATGCCCATGGATGCGGTGATGTGTCGCTCGCTTGAGCCAGTTGCATGCTGCAAACAAGGCACGGAGCTCTGAGGTAGTGCGATGTGCCGGTCGTCGGAGTCCTCAGGTCCAGAGGTGTTTCGAGTCCGCTTTCGGCGCTTTCGGCGCTTTCGGCTTTGCCGCTCCCGAGTTCCGAGTCCCGAGGTGTGAAGCCTCCGGCAGATGGGAAGTCGCGTGCGCCTGCGAAGGGCTGCGCGCCGTGGGCTGAGGGTTTGCGAGGCTGTCCCTGAGCGGTGGATGTGCTCTCGACGCCGGTGCCTGCACAGCCCCGTGGCACGACTTGACAGAAGCAATATCAGCACACATCCATATCAACATCAATACTTAAAGCAAGAGACAGATTTGCTAAAGCGTTGAGATCTGAGGCTTTGATGAAGCTCTTTGGGCGGTGCAGTCAGTGGCAGCGTGCCATGGAGGTCAGCGACCTTTTCCAGTGAGCAGCCACAACAACAATCGCAGTGCGAGGTCTTTGCGGCAATGCAGACAGAAGGGCCTTCACCTGATACATATGCGGTGGGGCTCGGTCCAGGTCGCAAATCGGTAACGATCGGCACTCGGTGTCCCTATCGCGTGTCATGGACAGAGGATATTTATGCCAGCTGCATTGCAGTGATGATGATGACAATGACAAGCCACTTCTTGTTGCTACGATTCCATAGCAGCATTCTAAGCCCCTGCATTTGAAAGTAGTATTCATGAGGAAATATCATAGATTTGTTACCTGCAACTTTGCACTACGACACCGCTCAGATGTGTGTCCGAACACGAAGCTGACACCACCAGGTTTGTAATTAGAAACAGAGCCGTCACTTTTTGATTCTGTTGGCTTTTAGATCAGTCCGACATCCCGCACTGGCTATTCGTGTCCAGTTGGGTGCTGCTGTGGCAGCCTGCGGCAACTGGCAGCACGTGCTGGAGCTACTGCAGGCGCCCGGGACTCGGGACTCGGGACTCGGGACATGCATTCCGAGCTCGACTCGACGTAGGCAGCGCGGCGCTATTGCTTGCAACCCAACGCAGTGGCACGTGCCTTGGGAGAACTGCAACTTGCAACGCCCCGCGTAAGTTCCTCTTGCGAGTTCCTTGCAACCCAATGGGAGAACTGAGAGCGTGCAAGGTGTGCAACTCCGCGATCTCAGCCTGTGGAGCGCACTGGCAAGTGGCTCTGGCCATCATGGAGGCTGTTTCCGCGTTCGTTCTCGCCACATCGACTTTCAGTCAGGAAATGGGGGAAGCACGCCTGGGCGATCATGTGACTTGCGGCGGAGGCCTCAGGTGTGGCAGGTGTGGCAGGTGTGGCAGGTGTGGCGCAAGCGGAGTGAGGCAGCGCCATTGCTGCCTGCAAGAAGGTGCCTGGGGACGACTAGTGACTGGTAGCGTCCGACCATCCCACGTCAGGCTGGGCAATGGGAGCTAGCACTTGCGTCCAGGCCTCATTCGATCATTCGAAGGGTCACTTTGGGCTGACTTGCGGCTGACTTGTGGCTCCTTTGGCTGACTTGTGGCTCCTTTGGCTCCCTTGGCTTCGCTTTGGCCAAGGCTCCTGGAGAGTGAGCCGAAGCTTCGCAACGTGGTCGCTGCTTCTACCGCCATCTCTGCCTGCGCCGAGGCGCGGCTTTGCCTTTTCACATGCTTTGCCTTGATACTCACAATATGCCTGGGAACAGATGTCCAATTGTTCAAGTTCAGCAAAGCATGCCTGTATGCTGCGGTGCAAGGGGATTTTGGAGGTCAGCAACACAAGTGCGTTGTCTTCTTTTTTTGTGCGGCAAGTTGCGAATACAGCCCACTCTTCACGTCGCAACTGTCCTTCGTGGACACATCAATCACTATCACTCTCGCCGGGTTCAGAGCAGGTTGTGGCGGGTAGGGCGTCTTATCGGGTTGGCTCCAAGCCTTAAACGTCCAGGGACTCTCAACCTCCGAGATGATCAGGGCCGTTGCGAATGAGAGATTTTCTTCTCTCTAGCTGGAAGTCAGGCAGAAGGGGGTTCGAGCTTTGCAAAACGAGAAACCAAGCAAGATATGCCCCTTCGCTCTTTGGAATCCTTTAGGCTAGGGCAGGTAGGTGAGGTTTCGTTGCATTGTGAACATGCAATGCATACCGGACCAGACAGGTTCTGACTGGCTGTATCCGTTGTTCCTTCCCGCAAGCCATGTCGGATTCTGAGGCCCTCGTCAGGCAGGATGCGGTGAAGGTGGAGAAGTGGTGCACCGAGCAGGGTATTGAGAGCCCTGCAGACCTGGCCTTCTTCTTCCTGTCCTACGAGGAAGCCTTGAACGATGCGGGGCGTGCAGTGGCTGATGCCTGGAAGGCGGTCCGTGCGACCTCCACGATCGGCCTTGCTGCCTTGGCCCGAGGTTTGTTCAAGGCGGAGGAGGAGGGCCAACGGGCAGGCCAAGTTCGTCCCGTCAGAACGAGCCTTTGGTGCCCGTGAGGCCACAGCCTTCCAGGGCAAGGCCCATGGCCCTGGAGAAGGTGCAGCCCGCTGGCATCGACTATGTGCACCGCCTGCGGAGGGTCCCTCTTCGTCAGAGATGAGGAACAACATCCAGCGCATCGCGGAGGACGTCTGCAGAAGATCGGAGGGAGCGACCATTTGAGGTGCACTGGCAACTTGGCGGGATGTGCGCGCCTACGGGTCTCGCCGGGGCCTGCGGGTGGCCGACCTGGACAAGCATCATTTGGCAGACTTTGTGGCCAATAGCCCAGCCCCAAGCCGCGATCAGCGATCACTGATTTGGTTGGCCAGGAATGTGCGCGGCTCTCCCTGGATCTCAGCGTGGTGAGGCTCATGATCTTCCCCAAGAAGAAGTCCAGCGCGGTTGGCACGCAGGCCTCGCAGGCCCCAGTTCTGGAGCCGGCGTTGATCCACTTCCTTGACGAGGCTGTGGAGCGTGAGATCGGGAGCAGACATTGGTTGTGTCTGTCTGGTGCTTGGGCCATGACCTTCGGAGTTCTTCGCTTTAGGCATTTGCAAAGATCGAGGATTGCCAGAGCGGATGCGAATGTCATTGTTTTCCATTGCCACACTGGAAAACAGGCGCACCACCGAGACGGGTTTCACTGGACCATCTCTGTGACGCAAAGACCCGGGAAGTTAGCAGAAGTTGGCCAATCAATGTCGGAAAGCTTGTTGCCTCTGAGTTGAAGATCACGTCGAACTCGGTACCGGTGACTGGGTGGCACACTCCCGGACCTTGACCTGGATCGGGGCCAGGTCTTCAGTCCTCGCTGGCCTTGGGCTCAGCCGGACGGGCTGACCCGGGAACAGACGGTGCCTTGACCACTGGCAGTGCCTTGGGCTGAGGCCGAGGCGCAGCCTTTGCCCGCTGCTGTGTAGTCTTCTTTGCCTGCCGGGCGAGCAGCTTGGTGAGCCTTCCCCTGAGCCGGAGGTTCTTGATGCCCTCAGCCTGCGGTACGTCGTAGTTGATGTAGGCGATCCCGGCGTTGGCGATGGCCTCATCTGCCTGCTTCATACCAAGTTGGAAAGCCCCCGCAGCTTGCGTCTAGAGATTTCATCCCAGGCCCCGACGGCTGTGAAGGCCTCAATGGTGGCGTGGAGGGCGAGCTTGATCTGGCACGAAGATCAAAACCGCTGGCCGTTGTAGCGATGCGGCACAAGTCCTGCACCATGGCCATCAGACGGAGCACCTCCTTCAACCAACTGGCGCACCTCCGTCCAGGACCAGGGCTTCCGCCTCCTTGGGCCTCGGGCCACCCTTTGCGAGCCTGCTCGAGGACAGTTGTCAAGGGCATGTCCGGGACACGGACCCGGAGGAACTCGGAAGACCCAAAGCATTTTAATGTATGAATATTAGCAGGGGCATCAAGAACACGGAGGCGCGACCGTGGATCTCTCGAAGAAAAAAGGAATGCTCATTGCTTCGACAAAGCATTACTCCCTGCGCTTGTCTCGGCTGTTCTTGGTACTTGCGCGTGAGGATCTGATGATTTTGTTTGATAGGTCTTGAAGAAAACCATTTTGCACACTTGTTCTCCAGAGTTGGGTCAGCACGATGCCGTCGCCACTGCTGGGCAGGCGCAGCAAGCAGAACGAGCAGCGGAGCTGTTGCAATCACTGCCAGGAGTGCTTGCGCTTTGCGGACTTACCCAGTTGACTCCATTCCTGGAAACCATTGTTGTTTGCTCAACTGTCGTTTGGTGGATTGAGCACGCCCCAAAACATTTATTTGTTCAAGTAGAATCAAGCATGAGTAGACTACATTGTATGCCGGGTGCATCAAGCCGGCTACTTGGTCCACCAATAATCCGCACTGCACATGGTCAATTTAGTCGCTGTAGGATATCATTCGTAGGCCTCCAGCTTGACAAGTGACAAAGAGCAATGAGCATGCAGATGGCGCTGCGCATGCCGTGCAGGCACACCTGTCACCGACAATTTGTGAACTCCGTGCAGAAACGCACCGCAGCGCTTAACATGGGCAATGATCATATGGTCGGCTGAAGCTTTCCAAGCGGCAACGACCGCAACGCACGTGGAGAGCCCGTGCCGTGCAGCAGCTGCTTGCCCGCAGTGAATGCCTTGGCGTGCAAGAATTTCGAATTGTTCGCAATTTCGAAGCCGAACTCTGCAAGAAGGAAGAAGTGTGCTGACTCGCTAGTCATCACCCTTCGGGACTTTGCCAACTTCATCTTGAGTTTGAACGGCTCTGGTCACGAAGCACTCAACGATGTGGTTCGCGAAAGCCGCAGGGCAGCTATACCGCTGGACTAGGAACACCCGACGATGGCAAGCCTAGGAAGTGCGCTGACAGGCGTTCCATGAAATTTCCTCGTGCGCCGCTCGTGCAGCTTTGTGAAAGGCCCCTTTAGAACGAAGAGGGATGTAGAAGCACATTCGTGTTTTTTTTCCAACGCATTGCGTTGCAGTATGACGGCTCAAAGGTTCGCCCACTGAGCCGCATGCTTAACGGATGTCCAGTTGAGGCTGTTGAATAAGTTAGTTTGCCGTTGTTTGCGCGGTTGAGTAAATCCGAAGGGTTCGCGTTTCGGATTGCGTATGTTGACACGCATCGTGCTCTTACAGCCGGCTGTTGACAGGCGCCTTCGCTTCATAGACCCAAAACGCACCGTGAATGTCCCAGGCCCTTTGGAAAGAGAGTCGAATCTTTCAGGGATGCACATCGAGCCTTCAGCGGCTTCCTTCAATGCTGCCAGCAGCTGCCAGCCAAGCCCCAAAATCCAAGAGAGCGAGGGACATGTGTCGCGCGAACCGAGGAGCTGGGATTTGGCGTTGGAGGTCTTGTGGCGGCCCCTTGATTATGTCTTTCAACTTCGGGTAACGTGTGGGTGCAGGCGTTTTGCAGCAATTCACGGTGTTGAAGCACGCGCCTCGCTTGGGGCTGGCGTCCTAGCAGGGCACTCCTCCTCTCTGTGTCTGAATTTGGACTGAGGCCATGAAGGCGTTTGAGCGAGGCTGTCGTTGGCAATCTGCGCTCGCATTGCTTGGCCCTGGGATGTTGCTAAAATTCCAATGTGTGCCCTTTGCAAGTGCTCATGCACGCATTTGACTCACATGGTGCTTCAACCTTCGATTCATTTCGGCGTTTCGGGAAGTTGGGGCTCAGGCTGCGCCCTGGGTGCAAAGACATCCAGCTGGGTGCCGCGTTGCGAGCTTGCCAGCAGGCAAGAAAAACGAGCACAAAGTCGGTCTCAGCTCAGTCACCTGGCTCAAGGCTGGCGCCTGGGAACGCAGCCTTTGTCTCTTTGAGGAGCGAGGAGCCCTGGGGGCGCAGTGAGCTCAGGATCTTCCGGGCGCTACCAGAGCGCACGAAAAAGGTGTTTTTTTTTTGACAGAGCTGCAGGCCCCCGCTCGAGCTCTGGAACATCGTCATAACAAGCTGTGCGGAGGACACTCTGCGAATCTGGGCAGCATGTCCAGACAAAGCTCCATAACAGCAAGCAAGACCTCGTGTGCAGGGCTGCTGGCAAAAAGCGCTAGCTATGCTGCAAGGCCCATCCCACTGTTGCACTTGCAATATCTTGCAATAGCGACCCAATGGATGCCTGGAGGTTTGCGACAGGCTCGGCCCCAAGCATGTGAGCCTGCGCAGAGCATTTACGGGAGGGAGTGACCGAGTGAGCGAGTGAGCGACGGAGCCGAGGCAATGCAGCCAGACGCTTTTTCCTACAACTCAGCCATTAAAGCCTGCCAGATCGGTGGAGCACTTGAGTCGCCCAAGGCGAGTTCCTAGGATTCCTATGTGTGACACTGAGGAAGCCATTGGGAAGGGGCAGTTTTGTTGCTCGAGGAGAGGGCCTCTAGGGCATCGCCCTGATCCCTTGCGTCTCTTGCGTCTTGCAGGAGATGCAGCAGCTGCATCTTGCAGATGCTCTGACGCACCACATGGTGGGACTCACTCTGCATGTTCTGTGCACTCTATTTTGTTCTTCCATGTTCTGTTTTGCGCCTGCCCAACGCCACGCAGGTCATGACGGCATGCATGGACAGCCGTGGACTCGAAATTTTGAGAAGGAGCAGCTCGGCATCGACTTCAGGCTTGCAGTGGGAAGCATGCCTGCGGATCCTGCAGGCTGGTCCAAAGGAGTCCTTGTGAAGCTCAATTCTTCTGAAATTGCTCCCCGCAGGCTTTGGAGCAGTTGGCTGAGCCAGGCTAAGCCGCATGCAACGAAGCTTCGTGCCTGCTCTTTCTAGCAGGCCTGCTGGTCTATGGCCCGGCCGTGCCTTGGCATGGGCCGACACCCGGAAGCAGATATGCTGAAGCTTTTGCAGTCCATGAAATACCCACGCACAACATCCGACGAGATGGCAAATAAGAAATTGAAAGCAATCCAAGAAGCTATTTTGTATTCCGGAAACAGCACTGGTAGAAGTCTTGCTTGCATTGACAACCCTTTCCCAAGAGTGACAATGTACTCAAACATTGCACAGTCCAACCCTGCGACTTGCATCCCATTTGGCGACTTGCATCCCACTTGCATCCCATAAGTTCAGCCTGGGCCCTTGAAGCTTCGGTGGATCCCTTCTTCGGGAGCGAGCGATGCGAACGCGTGCGATGCGAACGCGAGCGACGCGTGTCGCCTATCGCGCCGCATTGCGCTCGGCTTTCTCGCGGCAAGGCGCTAGCGGCTCGGCTCGCCGATTTTGACATGGGCTCTGTGAGTTGCGTGGGTTTCGGCCACCTCTGTTGAGTCGCCTTTCGCGCATTCTCTTGTTTCAAGCGTTGCAAGTCAAGTTTTTGCGCTTCACTTGTGTTCAGTAGCTTTGTTTGCAGACTTGAAGAGGTTGCGCAAGTCTCATCGCAGGAAGAATGATGCGGGATTTGCCTGTCCTTGTTTGCACAACCGGCACTGTAGCAGTTTATGTCATTCTTGCATTGTGAGTGCTAAATTCGGAATGGGGCTGGGTTGAGATGCTAGACATGGGGCCCAGGTTGGGGTGTGTTTGAGAACTCTGCAGTGGGAGCACGCGCTCCTTTTGGGCGTGGAGCTCGGGGGCTTCGGACGAGTTCGACTTCGAAAGTCGACTCCCGACTCAGTTCACGGCCTGTGGGCGAAGACGCTCACGCCGGACACGGCCATGTGCAACGCCGTCGTCACCGCGTGGGGCCCGCAGGGAGGAAAGAGGCATTCGCGGCAGGGCAGACGGAGACGACGGAGACGACGGAGACGGAAGAGACAGAAGAGACGGAAGAGACGGAAGAGACGGAAGAGACGGAAGAGACGGAAGAGACGGAAGAGACGGAAGAGACGGAAGAGAGAAGAGGACATGCTGGGTGAAAACGAAGAGACGAGAAATGGTGCTTGCAAGAGAAATGGGTTTCAGGTGCGAGCGAGCTAGCCGCTGGGCCGCTGGGCAGCACTTGCCTCTCCAAACCCTTCCGCTTCTTTCCTTTTCGTCTTTTCGTCTTTTAGTCTCGTCTATTCGCCTTCTTTAAAGGCCTGGGCCGTGCAGCTGTTGCAGACGATGAGTCTCTTGGCAAGGAAGATGGCCACCATGTTTCGGGAGAGCGAGAGAGAGAGACCATGTGGACAAAGAGGAAAGAGACATGCGAAGGGATGAAAGATAAAGATAAAGCTTCTTGCCCCTCCCATCCCACATTTTGCAGCCTTGCATGGCATGAAGCTTGCCCGTTCATCTCACCGAAGCATGTGGGCTCCACATGCTTGGCATGCCCTTTGTTCTGCCTGTCCGAAGTCTTAGCGGCATAGAAGAAGGCAGCGTGCCCGTGCACCTGATCGGCCAGCCATGTGATCGGCCGCACCGGATCGCACATCAGGTGCACGCGCCCATACTAAAGTCGGCCTAACGCTCTCCGAAAAAAGAAGAGAAACCTTTGTGTTATAAGGGTAGCCATTAGGCTGCTGGGGTATGAGTTTTCTAGTGGAAACTATGTAATTGGAGCTCATCACATTTCACGGCATTTAGGCTCTACCATTTGAGGTATGCAGTGTATTTCTTAGTAAAAAGACTTCCAACTAAAACACGTAATCCAACTAGTTGAACTTTAGGAAGTAACCCAATGTGCAGGTGGGATTTCGCCTGATCAGCAAAATAGCTGCCAAAACGTTACAACGCCCGATACAATCGGCAAAAGGCAGAAGTACTCAGGACAACTCTTGATAGTTTGAAAATGCGTTCACCTGCATCAGGACAAGGTGTTTACTGCAATCTGAGACTAAACACGATCATATGGCCAGGGTGCCCGCTCCGAAGCTCCCTCTGCCAAGGACGGGCAGGCCCTGAGCCTGATGCCGCAACGCTGGGCCTGCAGAACTCTGTGACGGTGACTCAGAGGCCTAAATGCCTGAGGCGCAATGCAGCCATTGGCGGTGCATGGCGCTCGGCTCTCTTCCTCCTGGGCTTGGCACTCGGCGCACTCAGTGCACTCAGTGCACTCTCAGTCGAGCGCGAGCTTCGCTCATGGCACGCGCTCTTGCAGGGTCCGAGCGCGACCCGTTGGCCGTGGGTGCCACGTTGGGCGCCTGTGCTCGGGCCAGCCGCTGGGAGGAGGCCTTTTTGCTGCGGTCCAGGAGTGAGATCGTGAGATCGAATGAGCAACAGCTTGCAAATGTGCCAGAAGTCCTGCCAGGAGCCCAAACCTTATTTCCTGTGCATCTGCCTTCAGCGCTTGCGTTCGCGCTCAACGCTGGCTCGCATCTGCGGCACTGCGCCAGGACAGGTGATAGCTGCAACCTACAATCTAGTGTCCCATCGCACTTATGTTGCATTAGCACATGGCATATGGTCAAGCAACATGAATGGTGAGCTGGGCTCAAGCTTCGCATCCAGGTTTTTGAAATGCGGACGCTGCTGCTTCTTTCCTGTGTTCCCCTGGTCTTGGGGGTGCCACCTTGTGAAAACGTTCACACGTGGCACAATGTTACCGCATATCGAGGCACGTGGAAAGCGCAGCTCTCGTCAATCAGTGAAACCGCGCTCTTCTACTGGGCCAACTGCACAGAAATGGGCCCTTCACCTACTTTTGAGGCCGGGTGAAGTCGTGCGCGTTTCTCGGACATAGGCCGGACTTATCGACTGCGACTCATGTGACTCAGGTGATCGGTGGAGAACGGGTTCCTTCAGGCGCTTCTTTTGGCTTCAAGATCGGCCCGGGCGCCACCTTCGACGTGGCCTACAGCCTCACGCTGGTGCGCACCAGCTCGGAGCCCCTGAATCCGAATCCAGGTCGACCAATGGGAATTCGGATGAGCTCAGAGGAAGCGGAGAAGGAAGTGCTTGGACAGGAGGCTCGAGCTCTCCGGCAGCTTTTCAAGAGCATGGCCTGCAGCTTCGTCATTGCTGCAGCGGGGCCGGCGCAGCCGGACGTGCGAGCGGAGCCCTTCAACGGGGCGACTTGCTTGTGGGAGCGAAACGAAGGAGTTGGGGAGAACTACCAGGTGGACTTCAGTCCGGAAGACTTGGTTTGATGTTTGGATTTCAACGGCTCAGGGAAAAGCGCTTGGCACTTGGCGCATGCGGAGTCTTGTGGCCAGAAAAAGTCCCCTGAGAGCGCAGACCTTGCCCAGTGCGCAGGAGCTGAGCAGCTTTCTGGCAGCCGCCCTCAGAGGCCCCCCAGCTTTGTGCGCGACAGCGCTCACAGTGCTCACAGCGCTCACAGCGCTGACAGGCTTGGCGGACCTGTCCCATTCCAACATCATCGTTGCCGTTCTGGAGAGAGTGTGAGCATTGCCTTGCTCCATAGTTCCTTGTTCCTTGTCCATGGGTTCTCATCCAGGAGCAGTTGCAGGAAGATCAAGCAGTTGGCCAGTCTCAGGCCAGTGCAGTTTGACCGGATCTCACAGAGTGACGCAAGAGCGACTGAGCGACAGGCAGCTTCCTTTCGGCGGACATTGCTTGCACCAGCAGCAGCGCGCCTGCTCGCGCTTTCAACGCTCAGGGCTCAGACGGCGAGCTGTGACGACTCTGAGACATTCCTTCAGGTCATCCGATGTTGTAGTTGCGAAGCTCGGGGGGGAGGTGCCGATTTGGCCTCTGGACAGTTAGCCGCTTAGCCTGAACCTGGGAGGTGGTCCTGCAAGACCCAATTCTGGAGCGCCAATCCAGCCTAGGCTTCTCTTTGGCATGGCTGTGCCCTTCCATGCCATTCCATGCATGCCACCAGGCTCCGTGGCAGACTTGCCTAGCATTGGGATCGGGACAGCGGACCTCTTGGCTTCTTGGCTTCAGAAACTCACCGCACTTTGGAGTTGTGCCTGGCTCTGCCTGGCTCTGCCTGGCTGTGCTTGGCTGTGCATCCTTGTCTTGCGAGGCCTGGGTGGCTGGTCCTCGCTTAGTGAGTCGACGGACAATGGTTGTTGGCGAGAGAACAGAAGATCCTGCTGCCAAAGATATACTTGCTCACGTCTCGTGCAGGCCTTTTCTGCGACCTTTTCGGAACGTGGATGTGCCAATTTTGAGTCTGTTGCCGAGGCATGCGCTGGGGAAAGGGTCGTGCCGGCGTTGGCAAGGAGCATACCGGATGGAGCTGCTGCCTCAACGTCCAATTCGGAGAAGCATCATTTGTTTGTACAATTTGTGCACATGTGTTATGCGTCTTATTCGTGTTATATGTGTTACATGTGCTATATGTGTTTTGTTTGGCATTTTCATTATCATATCCATCAGAGTCCATGATTCAAGGCTCACCTCTTGCAATTCTGCCTGTAATGACTCATCATGGATGTGAGAGAAAGGGAAGCGAAAGGCATGTCCAATCTCTTCATGCATCATTTCTCCTCTTTCCCTCTCGCCTTCGAAAGAGATAGGAAAGAGAGCAGGCAAGCCAAACAAAGAAGAGAAGCTTGCCGTGACACCATTCCTTTCCATCGCTTGACCATTTCTTTACCCTTGCCAAGCTCACTTCCGCTTGCTGCTTGAGTCAGGAAAAATGGGATTGGGAGGCACTGCAGACACAACGAAACACCCAAATAGGGCCCGAACGTCCATTGCAGATGCGCTCATTTAGCTTTGGTGGTTTGGCCTCCTCACACTGAACTGTTGCCCTCCTGCAAAACGCACCAAAAGATACAATGCTGCCTGTGAATGCAATGAAGACACCAACACAAAGGAAGCTTATCAAGCACAAAGACCAAATGCAAACAAGCAAGTAAGCTGCCAGAAAATAGACCTAACGATCGGAAAGCAAACGGCATGTTCTTCATTCCTTTTATATGAGTGGACTCAGCATAAAGATTGGCCATCCTGATAAGCAGCATTGCAACTACTTGGTTCATTCACGATATGGCTCGACCAGATTGCCGCCTGCTTGTGTACAGCCACGATGCACCTTTGAAGGCAAATACGGGTTTGTTGGAAAGCCGTGGCCGGAGTTTGGCCATCATTTTGAGCTACCTAGGAGCTTGATCAAAGTGCTAATATCTTAACAAGCGCACGCACAGTTGCCGGACAGCTGCCGCAGTGACATTGTCAAGAACGCAGAAAGCGCACGTCACTCTCGCACGCGATCGAGGAGCGCCACCGCATGGACCAGGACAGCGGCTTCACGAAGGGCAATCTGAGGTGGCTCAGCCGTGGCATGAGTGGATACGAGCTCCAGTGATGATGTCGCCACTCAAGAAATTCCTCAACCACGTGGTTCTCAGGAGATCATCATCCCGAGCAACAAGGGCACGGCCTGCGACGTCAATATTTCTTCGGGAGTTGTGGATGATCTCTGTGACCAGTCTGGAAAGTTGGCTGACCTCCTGGATCGACTGGAGAGCTTCTACCGCAGAGATGCCGTGCTGAAGGTGGTCGCATTTTTCGATTATACCCGCAAGGGATAAGCGACGCCTCGTCGACAACCAGCGCTTCGATGGGAAAGGCAGCGCCAACAACCCCGAGCAGAGCTACGGTGGCGACCTATGGCAAAGGCGGAAGTCCACGGCGGCAGATCTGGAGCGCTGTTTGTTGCGCTGATTTTGCGACGCAGGCCTCTTCTTCGGGCGCTCGCAGTTTGGAGCGGGCAAGTGGAGTAACCTTAGCCCGGATGGAGGCTGGCAGTAGTTCCGGGAGACGATGGGTCGCAGGACTCTGGCAAGGATCTGCAAGCGCCAGGATTGTCAAGAACGCTACTACTTGGAGCAGCTGAGTGCTTTGACGGGATCTTGGAGAGAGGTGCAGTTCGAGGCTAATGGTCCTCAGCAACAATGAGGCTATCGTCAACGCACGGGGCAAGCAGCAGCTGGGCTACACCGTGTCGGTATGCTGCCAAGGATGACGAGGCTGAAGGAGTTGGAGGAGTCTGTCAAGGGCAAGGGCATTCACATTTTCAAGGGTCCTCGACAAGCCCTTTACCACTCACGCGAGGCAGGACAGCCTACACGCACTGAAGCCAGGAAGAGGTCAGATTGACCTGGAGAACGATTGGACCAAAGCCTCCGGCCACTTGAGAAGCCATGGGCCCAGCGCTTTAGCAGCAGCAGCAGCAGCTTTGCAGCCAGATGCCCGACTCCTCAAAAGGCGCAGACGAGAGGACTCTGAACAGGGAGAGGGCCTGCAAAGCCCAAGCCCAACTGCGGAGCACGCGGAAACCGCAGCGCCTTCTAATGGATGGCTCGAAGCTCCCAGTTCGACACGCATGATCTCGCCAAGCTCAAGACACATTCGCACGGCGCCGCAGCGAGAGCGCTTCGACGCGCGCGATCGCCGCAGAGGGATTCTTTCGTCTTTCAGCGGCTTGTGAAGAAGCGAAAAGGCCAGTGTCGCAGAAGAAAGGTCCGCTTCACGCAAAGCTATCGCACGCAAGACAACTTTTTGCGACAACTGGCATGGTTTTAGATAAGTCCGATTGTCCAAGCGTCCTGGCCGGGCAAGGAGGCATCTACCACAAGGCGGCCCTGCCATGCACTTTGCTTAAAACAGGGCGTTTCGGGCGAGGTTTCTTGACACCATATATAGCGTACCTTTGCTGTAGCGCCGCTGCAAGCAAAAGCCGAAACAATGAGCGCGACGCCACAGCGAGAGCGCGCCGCCCACACGAACCCACTCTAACCCAGCCTCAACTGTTACCGTAAGAGCCCCTTAGTGTAAACACGATTTGGGGAACAAAAGCCAAAACAACAACAACCAACGACAACGACGACGGCCGCAACAACAACAACAACAACAACAGCATCATCAACAACAGCGCCAAAAACAAGAACAGCAACGGCAACACCAGCAAGCGAAATAGCAACAGAAGCACCAGCAGTCCGTCAACAAACGAACGAATGAACCAACAAACAAACAAGCAAACAAACAAAAACAAATAAAAACAAATAAGCAAAGCAAGCAAGCAAGCAAAACAGCAACCAAACAAGCAAGCAGAAGCGAGCAAGCGAACAAATGAACGGACACAAAACCTACCAAGTAGACCCAAAACAAAACAGCAACACAGTATCACAGAGCACGCGCCCACAGACCTAGAAACGCAGAATCTCAGAACGCGGACACACACGCAGAGAAACGCACACACCGACACCTACACGAGCGAATGCAAAAACATTCGCACGAGCACGGGCACGAACACAAGCAAACACGTGCACAGAAGTAGCAAACCCACAACACATACACGAAGAAACGCGTACACACACAATAGACACACACACAAACACGTGCAGACTTACGGGCATACACACACACACAGGCACTTACATACAAACACACGCACACACAGCACACACACACACACAGAGGCACTTACACACACACACAGCACACACACACACATCACACACAGCACACAACACGCACAACCAGTCGCAAAGCATTAAATATGAATGCAAGTATCAAACAGTAATCAAGCTTCAGCTGTGCAGCAATATCTTTCTTTTTGGTGTTGGGGTCGAGAGCTTGATTTAGTGAGAAGACCATGAGGCATGCGACAAGAGCCCCGCTTGTTCCTGTAGCGCGAACTCCACTTTCAGGCGCTCAGAGGCCTTGCCATCTTTGTATGTGGAGCATCAACGCTTTCAACATGCAGAACGCCAGGACGGGCAAGACACTAGATATCGAATGAATTGGATGGGTGGAGTTGGTGGAGTTGGAACTGAAGCTGAGGGAAAAAACGCCCGATTCAGGCATTGCTGGATGTCTTGCGCCTGGTCCGAGCCTAGGCGCTGGGACGATATTTCTTGGGGTTGTGGGAGTGGGGAGAGTCAAAGAACTTGGCCCATGTCAGAATCTTGGCTCCGGGAGATGCACATCTATGAGTGCAGCTTCAACTGCTAGCGTCACGGCGGACATGGACCGTTGACTCGATTCTGCTCTCAGCGCGGCTTACCTGCAAAGGCAATACTCTGAGTCAGGACACCCTGCTGGATTTCAGCGCGTTTAGAAGTGAAGGCTGCTTTTTGCGCACACCTAGAATCAGAACCTTGAGCCCCACCTTTGTCAAACAAGTCCAAGCTTGGACATGACCAACTCGCAACTTGAGTGAGTTGCCTGTGTGGAGCAAAGTGTGGCAAGTGCTGCGAAGCTTTTGGATCTTGATCGTGCCAAGGGAGAGCGGATTGTGTGCAACATCTTGGCAGGACACCGTTCAAGCTGCAACTGTTGGCATCACAGTTGCAGCGAAGTGCGTCGGCCAAGAAAAACACACTTCTTGCTGGCTTTGTCTTCTGTCCAGGAAACCCAGCCTGCCACCAGGGTTCATTTGCACACTGTATTTTTGTGTGCTAATAGCGGTTCGCTGTTGGCGTTGGTCTTGTTTTGAGCACAACCCCCTTGCCTAGACTCAACTGTTGTTGTCACTGCGACAAGTCATTGATCAACTCTTCAAACCTTCAGGACGAGCTCGTCGTCTTGATCGAAGCGCATAGGTTCTCAAGTTCTCCTGTTTGATGAAAGCGCAGAATTGAGAGTCAAGCCATGGTTTCACGCAGTTGCGAAGCGAGCCATGCCTTGTTCGTGTTTCTGTTGCGTATCAAACCGGTTGCCCAGCCACGATTCACGCGTGCCCAGCCTGGTGGACATGAAAAAATCTGGTGATGGACTTTTTGTTCGTGCCTTCTTGCTTTCGTGCTTTGCTGATAGTTATGGCTCAGCACATGGATCTGAAATGTGGCAAGCCTGGAGTGCAGAGATGCCTTGTGACATGAGTGCTCTCCTGGTGATGGCTGTCACAGCGATTGTGTGACACCTCAAAGGTTTGAATGTCAGCTTGGACTCTCCAGCGATACGCGCAGACAAAGGATCGAAGCACTTTTGCCTATGCTTTAACGGTTAGACTTTAACGTCGGTTCTGCAGAGCCGAGGCGAAAAGTGTTGGTTAGCAGCATGATGGAGTGGTCTACCCCTCAGGCAACATAAAGCTGCGTGAAAGATTTCGCTCGCAAAGAAAGTCCTTCAGAAGAGCAAGTCGGCACTGGTGAATGAATAGTGAATGATGACAAGAAGCACGTTACAAAGAGACACTTGACAGCTACTGTATGTACACGGTACGCTGCCCCAGAGCAGAAAGCAATGATTCCATTCAGAACAGAACGGTTACGTACAATCGGAACTTCAATTGCCTCACTGGATAAAAGCCATTGACGCGGGCGAGGCGGCCTTGCGGCCGCTCGCGTTTGCAAGCCGTGGCTCCATGGTGTTGGCAAACTTCGGAGTTTGGCTACTGTCCTTGATCCTGCGACCTCCAGTCTCGTCTCTCGTCTTTCAGTCCAGCTCAAGCCGTCGGCAAAAGCCGTTTTTGAGCCGTTGCAAGCGGTGCAACGGATTGTGGGTTCCAGTTTCGAGGGCACAGGGATCCAACAGAAAGGACTGGAAGACAGCAGAAGGCGGAAGGTGCACCGTTTGAAGCAGGCTGTTTCACGAGGCACAAATTTAGGCTCGATCACTGGAAGCTCATTCTCATCTCCTGGCGTGCTTTGGCATGGAATGCTTTGGATTTGCTACTTGACGGCTTGCCTGGCAGTCATGTGGTTCTGAATGACAGCATGTATAGTGTTAAAACCCTCCTGGCCCCGTGCCTAGATTGGGAAGCTGTTCTGAGGTCTGTGTTATTGTTGGTTACAATGTTCCATTGACTGCCATTTTGGCTCAAGTCACAAGTAGGGCTCAAGGTCTTGCATGAACTACGTTCGCACGTGATCGACCATAGAGAGTGGAAAATACTTCATTCACGCCGCAGCTGCCAGGATCACCATCGTGGTTATTGGTCCTTATCCCTTACAACAGTTTACACGGGTTCGGCTATAACGGTTTGACCGTATACACCTTTCTACGTGGTTGGGTACACACAGCTGGAGGGTTCGGTGGACAGCGTCCCACGGGACGTCACCTTGCCGTCTCTTGACAGGTTATCAGCCGTAACGACAAGCTCTACACTGGACGGAGAGACAGCTGGTTCATTGCGGGTACAGAAGCTACAAAGGGACAATAACCTACACGGTACAATGAGCCCAAGTGCTGCAACTATTCAGAACGACAGCTCAGAGGGATCCAATGGATTGATGGCTCTTCCTGCGGTAATGGACTTGGTCGCAGATTCACAGGACGAACCTGGGAGCGGAGGATCCGCACTATTCAGCGACATATCCACACCTACAAGGTCATGGAAACAGATCGACGTTCATCAGGACTCGAAGCAACGAGGGTCTCCACCGAGAAGATCATCGTCTTCGCCTGCGACACCGCGGACGTCGCAGAAGGGCGTGAGGTCGACATCGAAAGGTGGGAGATCCAAATCACCCACGAGTGCCGAGTTTCGCGCCGCGATTAAAGAAAATCATAAGATGGAGATGGAGATCGGGGAGTATCAGAAGACACTTGATGAAATGTCGGCAGCAATGGCAAATCTTCATCAAGACTATGGGAGCACCATCCGGATCCAAGAGCTGGAGAGACGATGTGAGATTGCCAGCAAGCAATCGGGACATCTTGTGAGTCATCACCAACACCATATGGCGGAGGCCTGGCGCAAGTTTGAGGAGAAATGAACGCGTATCAATACGGGGAGAGGAAGGACATGGAGTCAAATGTTATGATGCAGATAAGACAAGCTGAGGGAACTATTATGGAGCAGAAACGGGAGATTGCAGTGATGAGATCCTATATGGCAAGCGAGAAGTCGGCCGCACAGGAATCAGCTATACATGCAACTCAAATACACCGCGAGGCTTCGCAACAGATATCAGTTTACCAGCAACAGATCAGAGGTATTGAGTCGTCTACATCTATCGAGAAGTTCAACAAAGAGGAGATGGTTCAAAGTCTGAAATCACAGTTGGAACACGCACTCGTCAAACGCCCCGAGATGTACTCGATGGAGGACTCCAGGGAGCAGCTGATGACGAGACTGAATGACGTTACGACATTCGCAGAGCAAGAATCGAAAAGAGCAGAATGCTTGCTTCGCGAGAAGGAAGAGATCATCAGACAGTATGAATCCGACGTGTCGAAGAAGGACCAGATGATTGCTATCGAGGGTGGTCGTCGTCAAGATGCAATCTTGGAATTGGCCCAGGTCAGAGAAGCAAAGCAAGAAGAACGGTGCACGATGGACGAGAAATCGAAAGAGGCCGAATACTGGAGGTTGACAGCTAAAGGGGTGTATGATGAGTACCTCGAGGAGATGCGCGAACTTCAGGGACAACTGAAGGATCGGGAGGTGACACTCAAACAAGAAGAGAGTTTCGTTCGTCAGCTCGATGCGGATAATGAGGAACTCAGGGCACTCAAGAAGCTGGAGATACAGGAGGCCTCGAGCAGTAAAGATGGACATCGTGAACGAGCAGTAGTGAAGCGCGCTGAGGGGGGACCTCGAACTAATTCGACTAGGGAAGACAAGAAGGTGACTGGGTTATACCCGTCATGATCATCTAATCTGATCCCTAATTCGTCGCTAGTGCCAGGTTCGATTCTCTTTCCGTCTTTCGGTGATCCAATGATCGATGTACACCTATCACAGATGCAAGGGGTTGTTGGGCATGTCCCACAATCCGCTACTACGACTGGTGGTGGTGGTAATGGAGGGGGAAACGACGGTACTACACCCCCATTGGATTACGGTGGATTCTCGCCCAATGGAAATCGACAAGGGCCAGGTCGACGTCAATTGAGCCTAACAGGTGGTGGGGGGGGACCTCCAGGTGATCCACCCGATGATGAGGACGAGGATGACGACGACGAGGAGGATGAGGAGGACGAGGAAGAAGAAGAAGATGACAATCGGACACGGAGGGGGCGCAGAAGATCGAGGGATGATCGCGAGATCAAGAACGAGAGACCGAGGATTTCAATTAAAGAGGCTGAGAGGGTATCCATTCCCCCTTGGCCAAAGATCCATCAGCTCGACAACTGGAAAATGCAATTGCTGATGAATGTTCTAAGCGCATGCGCAGATCCAGATACCGACACATGGACGAAATGGTTGGAACAGGCTCTTGGGTTAAACCCAGACCTCAATTTGCTGAGCGACTCCGGCGGCGATAGATTCGCTACAATAGACATCAAAATGGCCATGGGAATGCAGAACATGTTGAGACAAGCACCAGACGAGGCCAAAGACGTGTACCTCGACGCTTTGCGACATTGGGAACTACGACATCAAGAAGGGGTGATCGTAAAGGGACGAGAGTTGGTGGCATTGGTCATGCAATCATTCAGGACGTCTGATCGAACGGACCTTGTCTACCACATCGAGCACTTATTCAGCCTTCCCTGGAGACAAGAACTTGGTTGTGTTCAGGAACAAGTGGTATGATTTGTTGCTGAAGATGAGGAGCGAGGATAGACCCAGCACACTGGCTCTCAGAGATATTCTATACAGGAAGATCAAAGGGAGCAGGAAGATGGAATTTGGTCTGAATGCCTATCATCGGTTGCCAGACAAACATCCTCAAAAGTCGTATGAATTCTTACTGGCATTGATTGACCACCAAATGGAGAAGTCGGTCAAATCAATGATGAAATCAGGCGGCAAAGACGCAGCTCCGGCTGCTGGCAAGCAGAAGGGCCAGAGTGGCAAAGGCAAGAAGGGGAAATCCAATGGACCTGACGCCGCTCCTGTGCTCCCAAAGGCCAAAGCAAAGGGTCACGCTGGCAAGAACGGCAAGTTCGACGGTGCCAACGACAGAGGCAAGAGTCCGAGCGAAACAAAGAGAACCCATGTTGGTATCACTTCAAAGCGGAGAAGGGATGCTTGAAGGGGAATGAATGCACATTTTCCCACAGCAAGAAGACGGAACACCAGGTGGAGAACCTACCCAAAGGAAAAGGGAAGGGGAAGTCCAAATCCAGATCATCATCACCGAAGAGGGAAGATGGAGCATGCTTTGCGTTCCAGAAGGGAAAGTGTGAGAAAGGGAGTGCTTGCAAATATAAGCACGAGCTCATCAAGAACAATTCAGCTCCGGCGACGTCAAGTGACAAGGCACAAGCCAAGTCGAAGGCTGCCGCCAAGAACGCAGCGCCAGCGATTGTGAGAAGGGCCATCGCCATGCCTGCGATAGTCTTAAAGCACTCGGCCCCTGCGGGAAAGGTCAGCTTCAAGAAGGACGTTGATCAAGTCGAGCCGGATGAGACCGAGACTGTCTACCACGAGCGTGATGACGATGCAATGAGCGAGTCGTCAAGATGGTCTGGCGAGTCCGAGATCCCCGAGAAAATGGTATGGTTCAAAGAAGTACTCGACGTCGACGAGAACGGGGAGATCACCTATCTTGAAGACGAGAGTAGGCAATGGGAACGAAAGGGAGAGTGGTACGGCTATGAGGGCAATGAGGATGGTCCTTACCAGTACGTGCACATCGATGAGAAGAAGTTTAAAAGCAGTGATCATCGAGAATTATCAGCCTATCAAGTCCAACGATCATTGATAAGAGCAAAGATACTGGAAGAGGTGGTGGAAGATGTTTACAGAAATCACTACTATCCGGTAACCAGGAGAGCACCATCGTGATCGAATATGATCGAAACAAGGACGAGATCAAGGAAGCGGCCATCGACTGGAAAAAACAGCATGGTCTGCC